ATTGAATTTTAATTTAAATCTGTTTTATAATTATGTAAAATATTTACATGTTTCCAAAGTTCAGTCTGAAAAACATGATTTTTTTTTTTTTCTTTTTGAAATGGAGTTTCACTCTTGCTCGGGCTGGAGTGCAATGGTGCAATCTCAGTTCACTGCAACCTCTGCCTCCCGGGTTCAAGCGATTCTCCTGCCTCAGCTTCCTGAGTAGCTGGGATTACAGGTGTCTGCCACCATGCCCAGCTAATTTTTGCATTTTTAGGAGAGACAGGATTTCACCATGTTGGCCAGGCCTGTGTCGAATTCCTCACCTCAAGTGATCAACTGGCCTCGGCCTCCCAAAGTGCTGGGATTACAGACATGAGCCACCATGCCCAACCAAAACATGATATTTTCAAATAGCTTTTATCCCTGTTCTTTTCCTGGCTTACATTCCAATTTAAAAAAAATGGCCCAGTGTGGTGGCTCATGCCTGTAATCCCAGCACTGTGGGAGGCCAAGGTGGGTGAATTGCTTGAGCTTAGTTTGAAACCAGCCTAGGCAACCGGTGAGACCCTCCCCCACCCCATCTCTACAAAAAATACAAAAATTAGCTGGGTATGGTGGTGCATGCCTGTAGTAGTCCCAGCTACTCTGAGGGCTGAAGTGAGAGGATCCCTTGAGCCCAGGAGGTGGAGGTTGCAGTGAGCAGAGATCACGCCACCGCACTCCAGCCTGGGTGACAGAGTGAGACCCTGTCTCAAAAACAAACAACAAAAAAACCCTCTCTATCTCCGTCTGTGCTATCCGTATGTATTTGTGTGGTCTCCAAGGTACCGCACACCCCTCCTTGCTTTTCTCATTCACTCTGGAAGGCGCTCCATGGCAGTGTATGGAGGTAGTCCTCATTCCTTTCTTAGCTGCTATACTAGAATTTTTCACCAAGTTCTTCTGGATCGGTTTGGGTGGCTCCATTGATTTGCTGTTCCGGCGTCTTAGTATCTTTCAATATTTTTGCCAATATCTATTTGAGATCTCTGTTTTGATATTGGTATTTTTCCAGTATTTTATTCTGAAAATTTCAAAACACAGCAAAGTTTAAAGAATTTTATAGCGAACATCTATACTTACCACTACCTAAATACTGCCATTTATATCTTATATATTCATTTTATGTAAGTATTCATCATTAATCCACCATGTTTTTTGACACATTTCATAATAAATTGTAGACATCTATATACTTCCCCCTAAATAGTTCAACATGCATATCACTAAATAGAACTTAATATTTGTTTACAGTTTCTTCTTCTGATATAAAATGTATATACTGTGAAATGTATAAATCTTAAGTGTAATTCACTGTTTTGATAAATGCATGTACTTGTGGAATCCAAACTCCTGTCAATATACAGAACATTATCAATCACGCCAGAAAGTTCCTTCATATTCCTTCATGTTACTTTTTCTTTGATGTTTTTTCTGCCATCGGCCTGGTATTGTAAAGTCACTGCAAATTTGTCTCTTTGGATGCTCTGTGGTTAGGCTTCTCTACTGATTTTGCTTATATTTTTCATAACATTGATCTGTGTATTTCTATAACAGAACCTTAAATTACATCAGCTCTTCAGTGAAGATACAGATTTCATTCTCTCCCCACTCTCCACCTACTGTTTTTTTTTGTTTGGTTTTGGAGACAGAGTCTCGTTCTGTCACCCAGGCTGGAGTACAGTGGCGCCATCTCGGCTCACTGCAACCTCCACCTCCCGGGTTCAAGTGATTCTCCTGCCTCAGCCTCCTGAGTAGCTGGGATTACAGGCATGCACCACCATGCCCAGCTAATTTTGTATTTTTAGTAGAGATGGGGTTTCTACATGTTAGGCTGGTCTCGAACACCTGACCTTGTGATCCACCCGCCTTGGCCTCCCAAAGTGTTGGGATTACAGGCGTAAGCCACCGCGCCTGGCCTGTTTTTTTCCTTTAAACACCTTCGAGATATAATTACCATATTATAGCACTCAAATCTCTAAGTATATAGGCCAGGTGCGGTTGTTCAGACCTGTAATCCCAACACTTCAGGAGGCAGAGGCAGGAGGATCACTTGAGGCCAGGAATTCAAGACCAGCCTGGACTACATGGCGAGACCCTGTCTCTACAAAATTGTAAAAATTAGCTGGGCCTGATGGCTTATGCCTGTGGTCCCATCTGCTCTCAGGAAGCTGAGGTGGGAGGATCCTTGGACTCAGGAGGTTGAAAGTACGGTGAGCCATCATCATGCCACTGCACTCCAGCCTGGCCAACAGAGTGAAACCCCGTCTCAGACAAATAAATGAATAAACGAATGAATGCATGGGTGAATGGTTTGGGGTATGTTACATTATTAATTTTTTTAAATTGCAGTAAAAATAAATAACATAAAAATTGCCATTTTTACTATTTTAACATATACAATTTAGTGGAAAATATACAGTTTAGTGGCCTCAGTAACATTCACATTGTGTGTAACCATCACCACCATCCATCTCTGGAACTTTTTTTTTTTTGAGACAGAGTCTTGCTCTGTTGCCCAGGCTGGAGAGCAGTGGTTCGATCTAGGATCACTGCAGCCTCCACCTCCCAGGTTCAAGCGATTCTCCTGCCTCAGCCTCCTGAGTAGCTGAGACTACAGGCACCCACCACCACGCCCGGCTAATTTTTTTGGTATTTTTTAGTAGAGACAGGGTTTCATCATATTGGCCAGGCTGGTCTCAAACTCCTGACCTTGTGATCCGCCCGCCTCGGCCTCCCAAGTGCTGGGATTACAGGCGTGAGCCACCACGCCCGGCCTTGTAGAACTTTTTCATCACAAACAGAAACTCTATATCCATTCAGCACTAACTCCCCATTTCCCCTCAGCATGTAGTAACCTCTATTTTACTTGTGCTTATGAATGTGCCTATTCTAGGTGCCTCATCTAAGTGGAATCGTTCAATGTTCCTTTTGTGCCTGGCTTATTTTAACTGTTAGCATCAGGTTTTCAGTTTCATCCGTGTTGTAGCATGTGCCAGTCTTCATTTCCTTTTTTTTTTTTTTTTTTGCGTATTTTTTGGTGATTTTCAAATCTACAATTTAATCCTTTTGAAGTGTACAATTCAGTGGCATTTAGTACATTCAGAGTGTTATGCAACCATCACCATGATCTGGCTCCAGAACGCTGTCATCATCCCAAAAGGAAACCTCGTGCCCATTCAGCATCACGCCCTATCCTCCCTCCCTGCAGCCCTGGCCGCCGCTCATCTGCTTCCTGTCTGTGAACCTGGCTCCTCTGAATAGTTCATGTAAATGGAATCATACACAGAAGTCTTTTCTGCCTGGCTTATTTCACTTGCATCATTTTTTCAAGGTTTGTTCAGGTTGTAATGTGTATTAATACTTTGTTTCTTTTTATTGCCAGATAATATTCCAAAAAGTCTGCCATATTTGGTTTATCCACTCATTAGTTAATAGACATTTAGGTTGTGTCCACTTTTTGGCTATTATGAATAGCGCTGCAGTGAACACTTGGGTTTAAGTTTGCATGTGGATGTATGTTTTCATTTCTCTTGGGTATAAACCTAGGAGTGAAATTTCTGGGTCAGAGGCTAACTCAGCTTAGATTTTTGAAGAACCACCAGACTGCTTTCCGAAGTGGCTACACCATTTCACATTCCCACTGGCAGTGTATGTGGGTTCCAGTTTCTCCATGTCCTCCCCAACGCTTGTCAAATGTCTTTTTGATTCTAACCATCCCACTGGGTGTGGAATGGTGCAGCTCTGTGGTTTTGACTTGTCTTTCTCTAATAGCTAATGATGTGCAACATCTTACTGCCTATTTGTATATCTTCTCTGGAAAAATGTTTATTCGGATCCTTGCCTTTTTTGAGGGGAGGGTGTTCATTTGTCTTAATTAAAGACAACTTGTATCTAGAATTCCTAAAGCATTCTTTTTTTTTTTTTTTTTTAAAGAGACAGTGTCTCACTGTGTTGCCTGGGCTGGAACACAGCGGCCATTCACACATGTGATCACAGCTCACTGCGCCTGGAACATCTGGCCTCAAGCAATCCTCCTACCTCAGCCCCCTGAGTAGCTAGGACTATGGGCATGAGCCACCACGCCTGGCTCTTCATAAAGGATTCTTTATGTATTCCAGATACAAGTCCCTTATGAGATATATCATTTGTAAATATTTTCTCCCATTTTGTGGACTGTCTTTTTACTTTCTCGATGGTGTCCTTTGTCGTATAAAAGTGTCTGCTGATGTTCGACGTATGTACTCTTGTTGCTTGTGCTTTTGGTGTCGTGGAAGAAACCATTGCAGAATCCAGGGTTAAGAAGGTTTCTGCCTAGGTTTTCTGTTAAGAGTTTTCTATTTTAGCTCTTGTATTTATGGTGTGAAGGAGGTCTAGCTTCTTTCTTTTGGTGTGGATATCCAGTTGTCCCAGCATCATTTGTTGAAAATACTTTTCATTCCCCATTGAATTGTCTTTGGCACCACGGTTGGAAAAAAAAATCAATGGACCATAAATGTGAGGGTTTATTTCTGGACTCTGAATTATTTTCTCTCGATCTATATTTCTGTCTTTTGTTTTCTTTTTAAAATTCATTAAAGAGGATATTTACAAAAGTATGCATTTATGAGCCACTGCTTTAAAACTTCTGTTTATGGTTTCCTGTATTTTATTTCAGCTCGTTTTCCATAATTACCTCGTTTTGTCTGTCATGGAGTGGTGAAGTGTAACGTTAACGTCATCAGGATGGTGATGTTCCCATTTTTCAAAGATTGCTTTGAACACAGATAGGAAGTATTTTCTGTTGGCAGTGATAACATAAAATGTTGAAAATGAAATATGGAAGTTTGTGAGTCAAAGATTTTCTTACCTTACTTGCATTTGAAATGCAGTACCACAAAAATATGCAGAATAAATGGTTATAACTTTTTCTTTAATAACGTAGACATTTTTATACCATCAAAAATTATTCTTTACGATTATACATCTCTTTATAGAATTCCTGAGTTGGAGGTAGAAGAAGAAACCCAAGTTCAAGAGATGACTTTAGATGAATGGAAAAATCTTCAAGAACAGACCAGACCAAAGCCTGAGTTTAACATCCGGAAACCAGAATCCACTGTTCCTTCCAAAGCAGTGGTGATTCACAAGTCAAAATATAGAGATGATGTAAGCATTACATTTCGTATGTAGAGGTAATATTTACTTTTACCTTATTGGAAGTGAAATGGACCTTTCCACTTCTATCTTGAAAATGAAACGTTAGTAATTGGCGCTTTTGTTTCTAATCAGAGATGATCTATGCCTAATTTTACTGTATCTTTATTGTTCATTAAGAAAAGGAATTGAAACTTGATGTATTGAGAGCAGCTCAGAGCAGTTAGAGGAACAGTGTGTCTTCTACTCCCCCTGGGGCTGTGCTGGGACTGTACACATACTGTGTGTTCCTTGTATTTCATTTTTCTCAAGCGAGAGTTACAGATTGTGTCTTGTACAGTTCAAAGTTATTCAAAGGATAACTACACTCTGTTTTCCCTGATCAGTTTACTTGACTTTCAACTCTGATTTTTGATGAGAGCGTTTCACTATGAGTAGTTGATGACGTTTTAAACTGTGGTTGAGGTTCCATGCTCTTCTGACGCCTTTCCCGTGTTGGCTCAGCAGCGATGCGCCCCTTGCCTAACTGCAGAGGTGGCGGGAAATGAGGCCCCGAACTGCCTGGCTGCTTGGTCAGGCGACAGCGGCCAGTGTGCTGCGGGGGTTGCAGGGAGCTCCTCCGTGTTGTGAGGCCTCATTGCTCACGGCTTCCATCCGGCTCTTCTCAGAAGCTTCAGTTTTGCAGGGAGAGGTGTCGGGGAAACATCCAGCAGCATGTGTTGATAGGGATGCCACTGGGTCATTGAGTCTCCTACTTAAGTTATTGAACTTAAGGCAAGGTCCACTGAAGCGTTCTCATTATGGGATTTGAATCTGGATCGTTCCGTTACAGCTTGATACCAGTCGCTGTGTCGAGGTGGGAGTGAGCGGGTTCTTCCTCTGTGGGGTATTAGTCATTGATTTTCATGTGGAATCTCAGGAATGTGATCCTGTTGTAGAGTTGTCATTTACACTTTGGTTAGTTTCATTTTCTGAGTGAATACTTTGATTAGGGGATCATTTAAGTTACAGGGTTCTTGGGAAGCCAAGGCAGGTGGATCACCTGAGGTTAGGAGTTTGAGACCCTCCTGGCCAACATGGTGAAACCCTGTCTCTACTTAAAATACAAAAAATAGCCGGGCGTGGTGGCGGGCGCCTGTAGTCCCAGCTACTCAGGAACGGTGTGAACCCGGGAGGCAGAGCTTGCAGTGAGCCCAGATCACGCCACTGCACTCCAGCCTGGGCGACAGAGTGAGACTCCATCTCAAAAAAAAAAAAAAAAAAAAGATACAGGATTCTCTCCCATCCTCTTGTTTTGGTCAGTCCAAGCTGTAGGAGGCCTTACTAGTAAGTTTTGAGCTGTTCCACAAGAAATGGCTTTTTGTAGACATAGGTGGCCAGAGCTTTATTTCCTTGGCAATCTCCGGGAGGTGTTTTCTAATTCCATTAGCTAGCTGGGTTGGTTCTTTGCCTGTCCACTTCCTTTGTTCTTTTTTGTTCTAGGCATTGTAAGTAAAATTTTCTCAAAAACAAATGTGCTGTCAGGATTGAAATGTGCAGCTGACATGTTAGGTAAAAATAGAAGCTGCTCTTTCTTAATCCACACCAGATTCGTCCTCCCTGGCTCCAGAGGTCTCCCAGAATATTTGAAGCAAGTGGGTTAGCTGAGTCATCGAGCTTGGTCTCAGTGAAGCACACATCTTGGTCCTTGTTAATCTTAAAGGATTGAAGCTTTTAGCTAGGAATTGTTCTTAAAGCAACACAAGCCTGATCTTGGGTTCATCAGTTTACTTTGTTCTGGACACGCGAAGAGACAAAAGCACTAGAATACCTAGCAAAGTTCGGACCTAGTCACAACCCGGTGTAAGGCACTGGGCAGTTAAAGCACTTTGGCCAGGGCCAGCTGGAGCTGCGAGTGGAGCCCAAGCCTTCGTATGTCCTTAGACTGTGTGTCCACTCCCTGCTCCACTCTCCCGAGGCCCTTCCTGCCCCTTCCTGCAGTGGGAGGCGGCTCAAAGCAGGACCCCCAGGAGACCTTCCCAGGGCTTCCCTGCTGAGTGCCAAACGAGGCAAGAGTTGATGATTCTGCCTGTCACTATTTTTTGTGTGTTTCTTTTTACAGAGTGCCAGTGCTCCTGGATTGTTTTTCTTCACCTTTTTAGCACTAAGCATCCAACTACCTAAAGCCTCTGCTTTATTTTAACCTGAGACCTTAAAGGGGACACAAATGTTAAGCGTGAAGGCTGCCATGAGCCTATGGCCTAAAGGTGTGGATGTGCTTGTGGAAACTTGGTTCCATTTCCTGGTTGTAGTAATGTTTAATGTTGTGGCACTTTGGAGATTCTCATCTGAGATCACTGACATATTTTCTTTTCTGTAGGTTTTTATTTTACTTAAAGTGGGTTTTTTGTGTGTGTGTGTTTGTGTGTGTGTTATCCATTATTATGAGTTGAAGCCAAATCAAATTTGGATCAGATTTAATTAATTAATATAGTTGTCACAAGATAGAGAATTTTAATGAAAGCAGTTCTTAAAAAGCAGCTTGACTTTGTGCAGTGTTGGTAGAACACTCAGGTAACCATCCTCTGTTGTTTTTATAAAATTTCTCTATTTTGAGTGAGACTTGTTTATTATAAATCATGTGATTTCTAGCACATGGTATTTAGAGCCAGCACCCATGCTGAAAGGGATTTCTCTATTAAATTCTGGGACGGAGATATTTCCTTATTTATCAAAGCATTTGTGAACAGATAAGACAGAAAATAAGCAAAAATGAAAACTTTTTTATCTCAGCAAAATAGATATAAAACATGTATATTGTTTGCTATTATTAGTCATGCCGAATCTTACATCTTAACCTGCTCAGGTGACAGAAATTTGATCCCACTTGAGGCCGGGCGCGGTGGCTCACGCCTGTAACCCCAGCACTTTGGGAGGCCGAGACAGGCGGATCACGAGGTCAGGAGATCGAGACCATCCTGGCTAACGCGGTGAAACCCCGTCTCTACTAAAAAATACAAAAAACTAGCCGGGCGCGGTGGCGGCGCCTGAAGTCCCAGCTACTCGGGAGGCTGAGGCAGGAGAATGGCGTGAACCCGGGAGGCGGAGCTTGCAGTGAGCTGAGATCCGGCCATTGCACTCCAGCCTGGGCGACAGAGCGAGACTCTGTCTCAAAAAAAAAAAAAGAAATTTGGTCCCACTTGAAATCCTAAGTTCTAAGATGTTTGGATTAAGATTGTAATTGCAAGAATGTGGGACTGCAAACACACGGAACTCACTGTCTTGGAACTGGAACAGCAGGTGCCGTCCTCCTGTGTCCAGCTCTGCAGCCCAGGGCCAGAGACGCTTCCAGAGCGTGGCCCTGTCTAGCCCCTGACGGTGCTTTAGCTCCTGTGCAGCACATGGCAGCCACTAAGCCAGATGAGTGTGGGGATGGCTATGGACTTGTGCATGTTGGATGCTGTAACTGTGTTTCAGATGGTAAAAGATGACTATGAGGACGATTCCCATGTTTTCCGGAAACCCGCCAATGACATCACATCCCAGCTGGAGATTAATTTTGGCAACCTCCCTCGTCCCGGGCGCGGAGCCAGAGGAGGCACCCGGGGAGGCCGGGGAAGGATCAGGAGGGCAGAGAACTACGGACCCAGAGCAGAAGTGGTGGTAGGTGTCTGCATTATCAATCCCGAATGGTTTGCTGAAGGAAGTGAATCAGGACAGTGTCCCGGCCCAGGATGGTCTAGTTCAGAGGGTCATCGGCTTCTGCAGTGACTTTTCCTGTAGCTAGCGTGGGCCTGAGGTTGGGGATTTGGATGGTGTTGCAGCATCATGGACATCTTGGCTAGAGACCATTCTGGAGCCCTGGCTTCCAGGGTCTGCTGTGAGGGCACTCCCGGGATCCAAGAAAAACTCCCTCTCATCTGCATTAGACAAGATCCCCAGGCTTGGGACTGAACTGGAGCACCTGACATCTTGCTTACTGTGGCCTGATTGTATACCTTGGGCTCAAGTGATGCTGTCAGAGTGAACAGAATCCTTCCTAAGATCTCAAGCCCTTTGTGAGGGGACCTTCCTCAACCCCTCCCCAGCTCACTGGCCTCACACCGTCCTCAGCCAAGGCTGCCTGCTTCTAGCTCTCGACACAGCATGCCCCTTACCCCTGGCCTCTGCCTGCGGCCTCCGTTCATCCTTCCAACCTCACTTCCTCACAGGTTTCTTTGATCACATCTCCTAGACCGGTCAAGGTCTCGGAGCAAAGGAGTTTCTTTTCATTGAAGCCTGATCTCCGTGTGTGACTGTATTCCCACTGGTGTGGCTATTAGTCAGCGGCTGCTTTTGCTCATTATCAGTTTATGCAGTGCCATGCAGTGCCTGGCAAGCAGTAGGTGCTTCCTAATGTGCTAGTGACACTTGTTCATCGGAAGTCAGCCCTGAGGCCCTGTGGCACAGACCCCTTGTCTGTGGCTGGTCTTGGCAGTGCTCCTCTGGCTGCCCAGTTCCCTCGCTCTAGGGAGCAGCCCCTGGAAGCGGTATCTGTGGTTTGGTTTTGCTTAAGCAGGAGCAAAAACACAATTTTTGGGGGGTGGGGGTGGGGGTGTATTTGGGGCCAGGCTGGAAACAGGGTCTATTCTGAGATAGGAAGCACATCCTCACGCCTCTCCTGTCGCGGACTCTGGCCCCTGCAGCACTCCGGGGCGTGTGCTGGGAACCGCTCTGAGACCCAGCGCCACCCGCCTCTTCACTGGCATCTGTCCCCACCTCCACAAGCTGTGTACCCCCCACCTCAGAAGAGCCCTCAGGGCCACCCCTGCCCCCATCAGGCCACACTGTTTCCCAGTCCGGGTCCTTGTTCCCTTTGCTTATCCATTGAGGTTCATCCCAGGGAGAACCTTCTCTTCCCACAAAACCTTGCCTGACCTTGGCGTCCACTTCGCCATCAAATTGCACTGGACGGCCCTCCTGTGGCCCCTCCCTCCCAGGACGTGTTAGTGAAGCTCCTGACTCGATGGTCCGTTTCTCCAGAGCCATGAGCTCCCCGAGGACAGGCACTGTCTGTGCCCCTCCTCCTCCCTCCAGTGCCTGGCACGCAGTAACCGTTCCATTTACTCGATGCAGGACGTGCCCGTGCAGAGCCCCCCAGTAAGAGCTTGCAGGACATAGGAAGGGAGGCAGCTCCTTTTTCGAGGAGACCGGAGGCCTGTGTGGGAGGGGAGCTGTGCTTTCCTGGGTTAGCAGTGACCTGTGTCTCTCCCCTTCCCACTGTGGATCCTGCCTCTAATGCAGGCCCCTCAGCGTTGGTGCCAGGCCCTTGTTATCCCACTGGGACCCTGGGAATGGATGAAGGGGCAGTGGATTTCAAAGCATGTCTTTTCTTCTTTAGATGCAAGATGTCGCCCCCAACCCGGATGACCCTGAAGACTTCCCTGCGTTGTCTTGAAAGCGCCCGTATCGCAGCACCGCGGAGCTGCACCCGTGGAGACTTTTCCAGCTGGGCCGAGAGAGTCAGAGTCTGAGAACAATAGATGTTGCTTTTCCCATGTTGTGTGAATTTGTCGCACTTTTTCGGGCTGGGCTGTTAGAGGGGCTTCTCCAGAGGCTTGAGAGCAGGCCCTTTCCCCAGCAGGTGAAGAATGGTGACTGTGTTTACTGAAGGAATTTCAGATGAAGTCCAGGAATAATGTTTACACTGTGCGCATAAGAGATAGTATAGACCCCTCGGCGCGAGCGCGGAGGGAAAGGAGGTCGGCAGACAGACTCTGTGCAGACTCTTAGGAAGCCGTAGATTCCCGGAGGCTGTGCCTTTAGCGTTAGAGGAAACACACAGGACCGGAACTGTTCATGGAAAGCAGTCACAGCTGAGATTTCAGAGACCAAGAAATTAAACTACAATTGTACTTACTGTTTACTGGTAAATGTTATCTACTCTCCTGGGATATTTTCCTTTCTGGTTTTCACTTAACCAGTCATTTAAAAATCGCTATCGTGTAGCCACTGGCCACCACTCTGTGACACAGAATCTGAGAACGTGTTGATTTTTCATTGTGATTTAAACTACCTCCTGGTTTCTGTGTGTGCGCGCACACACAGCTAGTGTTTGGGTGGTTTCTAGGAAGAAGATTAAGTCTATGACTTTAAAAACCATGTTATTCAACCTGCCAGTCAAATGGAAAGGGATCGTGGCAAAAGCAAATATCGCATCCTTTTCTTCCGCAGCAGCAGAGTCAGGTCGGCAGCTGTGTGCAAAGGCCTCCGCCTTCAGCTCGGGCACTGTTGTAGATAACTGGTATTTATTAAGCACTGTGAGCAGTTTTCCTCAGTCCTGGCCCCAGTTCTAGAGCTCCTCTTTATGACTTTTGGTGAAAGTTTGGGGTTGGGGGTACACCTCAGAGGTTCAGTAGTTCACCCACCTGAAGTCCCACGCTGAACAGAGCTGGACCCAGAGCCACACGCCCAAAAGCACACACTGTGCTGGGGAGGAAGGAGGCCTAGGAGGGCCTGCAGGTCCAGGCAGCTGTAGAGCTGCTAGAAGCTGGGGTGTTGCTCTCCCTGCTTTCTCATAGACACCACAGGTACTGTCTGCCTGTTGTCACACAGTTCATATGCTCGCTTGAGATGGAATCTGAACCTCGGTCCCAGGATCTGTGCTTTTTCTCACTTTGCGACACTATCTAAGGTGGCTTTGAACTGGAAGCCAAGTGCAAATAAAGGTTGGTATTCGCTCCTGACTTTGTGTAGAGAAAACAGTCCTTTGGTTACTCTCAGGCCACAGCAGTCAGTCAGGATTTTGTTGAGTAATCAAAGCTGAATCCGTACACGGTAGGGTCAGTTAAGGATGTTTGCTTTGGGTGACAGCCTACTTTTGGTCTCTTATTAAATTATTATCTGAGTACTAAGGTTTATCAACTGAGTGTTTTCTTCCTTTTCCTGGAAAAGCCAATGGATGCAACCGCCCTGATTTCCAAAATCTGAACCTAGCTGGTACAACATCAGGGCTGGGTCATGACTCAGTGGCTTTGAAGCTGTCACACTGTCATTTTGCCTAACCGTGGCTTTGAAGATTAGCCAGAGCTCGCTTTGAAGAAACTTTCCGTCAGTGTTGTGAATATTACTTGAAAAGCCCATAGCATTTGGTTTAATGTTGCAGTTGCAAAAACACTGACAGTTCCTATCGAATAGAGCTGTTGAGTCATGTGACTGAAGACGGTTTTGGGGAACCCGGTGCATGTTCTGAACCTGTAATGGGCAGTGTTTGCTCACCAGGGCTAGCTCTTGCTGACTTGGTCCTGTGCCCGGATGTAGGGGTTTTGTTTGCGCTCTTTCTGGATTGTGCCAGGTTGTACGTAGCCCCAGGTGCCCCAGAGAAGCCAGGGCAGACAGAAGCGAAGGGCAGGGGGTGTAACCGGCATGCCGTAGGCACAGTCAGATGGGCAGGGGGTGTAACCGGCATGCCGTAGGCACAGTCAGATGGGCAGGGGGTGTCAGCAGCATGCCGTAGGCACAGTCAGATGGGCAGGGGGTGTAACCGCCATGCCGTAGGCACAGTCAGATGGGCAGGGGGTGTCACCAGCATGCCGTAGGCACAGTCAGATGGGCAGGGGGTGTAACCGGCATGCCGTAGGCACAGTCAGATGGGCAGGGGGTGTCACCAGCATGCCGTAGGCACAGTCAGATGGGCAGGGGTGTACCGGCATGCCGTAGGCACAGTCAGATGGGCATGCCGTAGGCACAGTCAGATGGGCAGGGGGTGTACCGGCATGCCGTAGGCACAGTCAGATGGGCAGGGGGTGTCACCAGCATGCCGTAGGCACAGTCAGATGGGCAGGGGGTGTCAGCAGCATGCCGTAGGCACAGTCAGATGCAGAGGTGGCAGGACCTTTTGGACCACAGTGCCGCGGCAGACTCCTCCGTCAGAGGAGCTTGTGACGTGGGCGTGGACATGTCCTGGGGCAGCGCACCCTGGGCACCACGTTTCTGGCGACTTAGACTCAAGCAGATTAACCCCATGAAGGACGCCCATGAGGGTTGTCGTCCCCAAGTCTTCTGAAAAGTGGAGGTCAAGCAAGTTTGAGTTGGTTAGCCAGGCCCAGGCCGGACTGGATCATGTCTGAACCAGGAGTTGACTGCTGGGCCTCAGGGGTGTCTGAGTTGTGCCGCCAGGGCAGCTCCTGAAGACTTAGCTCAGGGGGAGGTCCTGGAGCTGCTGCGCACAGCCTGGCACCAGGCCGGGAAAGCCGCCCCGCAGTAACTGGGCTGAGGAACCAGATCCTCTAGAGATGGGGGTGCTTGGCTGGGCGCGGTGGCTCATGCCTGTAATCCCAGCACTTTGGGAGGCCAAGGCAGGCAGATCACTTGAGGTCAGGAGTTCAAGACCAGGCTGGCCAACATGGTGAAACCCCGTCTCTACTAAAAATACAGAAATTAACCGGGCGTGGTGGCGGGTGCCTGTAATCCCAGCTCCTCAGGAGGCTGAGGCAGGAGAATTGCTTGAACCCGGGAGATGGAGGTTGCAGTGAGCCGAGATCGTGCCACTGCACTCCAGTGTGGGCAACAAGAGTGAGACTCTGTCTTTGGAAGAAAAAAAAAAAAAGGGAGGTGCTGCCCAGGACGGAGGGGATCAGTACTCGACTTGGGATGAAAGCCTAAGCTGCCTGTCTGACAAGTCTGGGAAGAGGCAGCTGGACACACTGTTGCCGGTTGGGAATGCCTCCGAAGTCAGATTTGGATGCTTTGAACAAGAGCCCGCTAGCCTAATGTTGCTCATGAGCCTTTGGCATTTTCATTCCACGCAAGGCGGGCCCCTCTGAGCCAGCCACCCTCCTTCCCTGTGCTGGTCAGACCAGACCATCTCCTTCCGTTATCAGCAAGTCCACGCCATCCCAGTGCACGCGAGCTTCATGGGAAAGACGTTGCCATCCTCTGAAACTGCACTGCACGGTGCTGGCAGGTGCTTTGGAGCAGCTGGGCCTGTGTCTCCGAAGCTGGGAAAGGCAGCACGGGAGCTGCCTGTGCCCGCCCTGTTCTCAGCAGCACTGGGCCTGTCTGCCCTCCACGCTGCGGCCTCTGCTGTAGATGCGGAACATAGATTTGCTCGTTTCCTTTGGCTGCTGCTGTCTCCTCTCCGCCTTCTGCAAGGATCATGGCCCATGTGAACAGCTTCCCTGAACCCCCCGGACACTCATGGGTGCTTCAGACAACCTGGGGTGGGCTGAGGGCATGGGAGGCTTTGGCCTGGCTGTGTCCCACAGGGGCCTGTGTTGTGGAGGATGAGGAGGTGTGGAGAAGGGAACGAGGAAGGAAAAACACAGGAATATTTTAAAACCTTGTTATTATCAAATAGGATACAGATAAAAGTCCAAAACTAGACTGGGCATGGTGGCCCACGCCTGGAATACTTTGGGAGGCTGAGGTGGAAGGATTGCTTGAGGCCAGGAGTTCAAGACCAGCCTGAGCAACACAGTAGGACCGTGTTTCTACCATAAATTTTAAAATTAGGTGGGTGGCACACACCTGTAGTCATAGCTACTCTGGGAAGGGGCCGAGAAGTTGAGGCAGGAGGATGGCTTGAGCCCAGGAGTTTGAGGCTACAGTGAGCTACGATCATGCCACTGCACTCCAGCCTGGGTGACAGAGAAAAACCTCATCTCTTAAAGTGCAGAACTGCCTTGTAACCATGTTTTCCTCCAAAGCCTGGTCACGTGGACCATGCTGATCACCACCTCATCCCACCACCTCATCGCTGTCCCCAGTCACTCCCCGCCACGACCCCAGGTGCTCCCCTCCACGCCAGTGCTGCCTTTTGAAAGAAAAGTCTTCTGAAGGATGCTCCTCCACCCACCCGCTTTCCCCCGGCACCTACGACAAAGCCTGGTTACCAAACCCACCCGCTCCCCCCCAGCACCTACCGCAAAGCCTGGTTACCAAACCCACCCGCTTTCTCCCGGCACCTACAGCAAAGCCTGGTTACCAAACCCACCCGCTCCCCCCCAGCACCTACCGCAAAGCCTGGTGACCGAACCCACCCGCTCCCCCCCAGCACCTACGACAAAGCCTGGTGACCGAACCCACCCGCTCCCCCCCAGCACCTACCGCAAAGCCTGGTGACCGAACCCACCCGCTTTCCCCGCACCTACGCAACCTGGTACCAAACCAGCCCTGGTTACCAAACCCACCCGCTTTCCCCCAGCACCTACGGCAAAGCCTGGTTACCAAACCCACCCGCTTTCCCCCGGCACCTACAGCAAAGCCTGGTTACCAAACCCACCCGCTTTCTCCCGGCACCTATGGCAAAGCCTGGTTACCGAAGGGGCAGAGCATTTGCTTGACAGCCTGGGAGTCCTGTCTTGTCATGCCTTGTCATTTTATAGTCAGGCAAGGACGCTGTCTTCCTTGCTGCCTGGCTACTATTTAGGGCAGGTAGAAGCTGAAACGAGATTCAGTCCCTGAGCCCCACGTCCTTTCTACACACTCCTGAAATTTCCAGTGAAAGGACCAGTCCCTTGGGCAAAGCTGTTAGGAGAGGGGACAGGAAAAGGGACGCCTGTACCTCAGCAGTGGATGAAAGGAGATGTGGAGTGTTTGCCGTGTGCCTCTGTGCTCAGTCACTTTCCGAGCCATGTGGAGATGGCCATGGTGCCTAGCAGGGTACTGCACACCACAGCAGTGCAGAGGGGCCCCCCTCAGGTATTCTCCATGCAAACGGGATGGGACTAAAACTTGGCTCCTTAGGCCTAAGGGCCTAGCGGCTCCTGCCTGCTTTGCCCAGTCCAGCTTTTCTGCACATCTCCTGTTGCTCCTGGAAAGCCTCTGCCTGGGCCACAAAGTTTCCTTGGACTCCAGATGACAAGAATTTCTCTAACCAGATTGCAAAAGGTTCTCGCACCCCTCACAGCTACACCTGGGCCAATCAGGCCTCTGTGGGGAGCAGCAGGGAACCACTGCCGTCTGAGCACTGTTTCTTTCTTCCTTTCCTTCCCTTCCTTTTCTTTTTTCTTTTTTTTTTTTTGAGACGGAGTCTTGCTGTGTCGCCCAGGCTAGAGTGCAGTGGCCGGATCTCAGCTTACTGCAAGCTCTGCCTCCCAGGTTCACGCCATTCTCCTGCCTCAGTCTCCCAAGTAGCTGGGACTACAGGTGCCCACCACCTCGCCCGGCTAGTTTTTTTTGTATTTTTTTTTAGTAGAGACGGGGTTTCACCGTGTTAGCCAGGATGGTCTCGATCTCCTGACCTTGTGATCCGCCCGTCTCGGCCTCCCAAAGTGCTGGGATTACAGGCTTGAGCCACTGCGCCCGGCCCCTTCCTTCCTTCCTTTTCTTTCTTTCTCTTTCCCTTCCTCCCTCCCAGGTTCACGTCACTGTCCTGCCTCAGCCTCCCAAGTAGCTGGGACTACAGGCGCCTGCCACCTCGCCCGGCTAATTGTTTGTATTTTTAGTAGAGACGGGGTTTCACTGTGTTAGCCAGAATGGTCTCAATCTCCTGACCTCATGTTCCACCTGCCTCAGCCTCCCAAAGTGCTGGGATTATAGGCGTGAGCCACCGCACCCGGCCTGAGCAGTGTTTCTTTACAAACCTGTGCCCAATCCCAGAGGGCGGAATTACATAACTCTGGGAGCTCAAAGCCATTTGTAAGGTAAGGAGTGCCTGTCGTGTGGCATCAACTTGTACGTAAACCCCACAGGGCTTCTGAGAGTCTCAAATGTTCTCAGACACTGAGGTAGGGTAAGACGTTTCTCCTCAAGAACCACCACCGTGCAAAGGGACTGACGGCACCTCCAGCAAGGCTGCCCTATCTGGGCACCCGTGTTGTGTGCTGCCCACCCCCCAGGAGCTGACTCACATTGACTTCAGTGTGCCTGGCACTCAAGTTGTGCGATGAACAACCTGCACAACTGTCC